CTTTTACTCAAGTACAGACATCTGAGTGCTTCTACTTTTACTCAAGTGCAAGATCTGAGTGCTTCTACTTTTACTCAAGTGCAAGATCTGAGTGCTTCTCCCACCTCTGGATAGCTATAATCCTTATGTCCCCTCTTTGGGACTAAAACAGGTCTTCTGATTAAACGTTGTGCCGGTGCTCATGTGAAAAATGTGGCTACGGTAAACATAGTGATACAGATGATGATGTAACAATGGCTGAGATTGTGGCTTTAATGACTGTGATGGTAAACAGACAGCTGACTCACACAGTGGTCCAGAGATCTTTTCTGCTGATGGTGTTTGCAGTTAGAGACGCATTTAGCAACACACTGATGTGTAGCAGAGAGCTGATGAAAGACAGAGAAACCCTGCGTTATCGATCCCATTGATTCAGCCCTTACCTTTAAAGAACAGCCGCCCCTCCCCCCTCCTCTCTCACACCTCCCCTTCTCAAACCGGTAAAGCCATTTTGAATAATATAATTGCGTATTTGATCCTCACTGTAACCTGGAGCAGAGGTAGAGCTGATTGAATCAGTCGAGCGTGCACCTCTCCTTTCACTGTGTTTGTGTAGGTGGGCCGTTTTGATTGCTCCCTTTTTACCTGGAAATGTGTCTGCGCTTTTTTTGTTGTTGTCGGGGGTGAAGTGCTGCTCAGCTGCTTTTAATCGAGCTACAGTAAGCAGAAAGGAGAGCGACAGAGAGGGAAAGGTGTACGTTTGAAAAAGAAAAAAGTCATATTTAATACTATATTTGTCGACCTATTTCAAAAACAATAAGACCAATACTTCCTTCCTACATTTCACTACGAATTATTTTAATATTAATACTTATACTCCACTATATCTTGTAATATATATGTTATATATCGTAGTACATGTGCACATTTTATTTTATTTAATATTTCATTCCACAATCTTACTTTAAATTGTTATGTTTATGTAAATATATGTTTTTTATGTATCTGTTATTGCACATTCACTCATTTCTTATGTTTTATATAATTTTTTTGATCATATTTGAACTTTTTATTGCACATTTAAAACAATTGTTTTAATATAAATGTATTTAATCACTGTTTTTTTAATTTATCTATTAGACATTTTACTTTATCTTCTTATGTTTGTATATATTTCTTTATTGTATTTTATTTTATCTTTTATTGCACATTTGGAAATATTCCGGATGAAACATTTAATTTAATTTTTAGGCAGATATCATAAATAAGAAGCAGTGATTCTCAATAAAAGTCATACTTAACATTTCCGTAACAGGCCTATATGTACAAATATACATCACGGGAACACACAGATGAAGCCAGCAAAGTGAAAATGAAATTGTTATAATACTAAAAGCACTGAATTGATGATTTCAGAATCAAATAAATTCAGAGTATCGGTTTTGAAATGTTCCTAATCGTACAAAATGTATTGCAGCAATGTGACCTGGGGGCCACTGCAGTCACTACAGTGTTTAGTATGCATGCATGAGATATGCATTTGAATAATATTGAAAAGTAAAAACTTGTATACTCTTTTCTGTCAGGTGGAAGTACCTCCAGTTACTCACAGCTACCAGAGCTTCATGATGATCAACACAAGGCCAGTCAGGAAATGCCAGGTGCAAAACAAACACTACAAAAGTGCACAGAAAAATCATAAATGCTAATATTCATACCTGTAGATTTAATTATGCAATTCTTGAAGCTATATTTTGTATGTGTTTTTGTATATAGCATGTGTAGATATTATAAAAATAGATGCATAGATATATTTTGACTTGACGACGACAAAATTGTGATTATAATGAATTGTTAAATAACTATAATTTTTGCATTTTAATGAAGTAGCTTTTTGTACATTTCTAATATGTCTCATCCTTTACCATTCCACTCCATTCTTTCATCTCAATGTAATCCTTTGTGTTGTCATTAGTTTAGTTTTATGTCAGTAATATCCTTATCATATTATTAATATGGAGGGTGTTATTCCTGTTCTTATAACTAAAGGTGTACATTGGACAACATGTCAAAATACTTTAAAGGGGACCTATCATGCAAAATGCACTTTGTGATGTCTTTCATACATCAATATGTGTCCCCGGTGCGTCAGGGAACTCACGCAGCGTCAGAAAATAAAACCCTCTCTCTTTTCCTCCGTACCCAAATCTTTTAAAAACGGGGTGTACAACGAGCGGATACAGATTTGCTGCCGATATTACGTGAAATCGGCAGCGGACCCACAGAGAGTTGCTATCAGAAACAATGCCTGACGTGTTTTGGACGTAATCTCGTCTTTGTTTACATTAGCAAGCCTCGCTAACACTCAGAGCTAACCTGTACTGGAGAGCACATGTGTTTAAAAAGCAGGAAATAAAAAAAGGAACTCACCTTGTGATAAACCCGCAAGAGAGAAAGCATTTGAGCTCCATGCCGTTTCAGAAATAATCCTTGATGTGGTTTAGAACAGGATGGCATTTTATCACAGCAGAATTTAACTTTATCTCTGGTAGAATTCTGATCAGGCATTAGCTCCGCCTCCTCTCTTTTGTAGGTATGGCCCTACAATATATGTTTCCAATATAGCATAATAGGTCCACTTTAAGTTTCACAATAAAAGCCTCGTGTATGGATTGTTTTGGCACCACCTGGATGACTGAGCAGTGTAGAGGACATGGTGTTAGTAGCAGTAGCATACAGAGTTTTATAAGGACAATAACATGAGAAAAGCCAGTTTCTTCATTCCTAAACATCAGATGGCAGGTGCAGTAGGTTTTGGGGTAGGAGTGTTAGTGACACTGTTGCTTTTATGTTCTTCCTTGTTTAAAAAAATGAGTAACAGAGGAAATATTTAAGTTAAGGAGAGAAAAGAGGTCAAGACTTGTGATATTTGTTCACCTCACAATCTGATGTTTTAATAGGAAGGTCTAACGTTACTAGTTTAGAATAAGTTTAACACCGTTTTTGGCTCATAATTATCTACTAGAAACCGTTTGTTCTATACTTCTACTTATTAATAATAAGTTGAACGGTATTTTAAATCCAGTAGCATAAATAACAGTGATACAACTAATACTACTATTAATAATACATAATAATACTAATTATAATTCCAATAATACTAGCAATAATTATAATATTTAATAAAAATAACACAAAAAACAAAATAAATAATAACAGGGACAAACTGAGATCAAATTTAAAATATTCAAAGGTACAACAACAATAACAACGTTTCTAAAATAAAATGTTGCTACCATCAAAACACGTGTTCTGGCTTTCATTCATTTGAAAGACAAAGCAGATTCTCATGCTTTCCTTATTATTATTAACAAGTCAGCATCATTTCCATTTGATCATGATTTTCATTAACAATTGGTCGTCATTTTTAACGTCTAAACACATAAACAAACACACACACACACACACACACACACACACACACACACACACACAACACCACACAACACACCACACACACACACAACACACACACACACACACACACACACACACCACACACACACATACACATACACATACACACACACACACACACACACACACACATACCATGTATACATCACTTCAGGGGACATTACATTGACTTACATGCATTTCCTGGAGACGTATCCTAACCTTAACCATAACCAACACATGCCTAACCCTAAGCAAGTCTTCACCCTAAAATTAATGATTCCCCTCATGGGGACCTCCATTTTGTCCCCCTAAGGGAGGCGAGTCCCCACACGTGACTTGTGTGAACAGATTTAGGTCCCCACAAGTATAGTAATGCTATACACACACGCACACACACACACCAGACACACACACAGTGAATATATGTTTTGAACTGAGTGTGTTTGTAGCGTCTCATATTCACGGATCAATAGTACCACCTGTCAGCGACACACTGAATTACAGTTCCTGACAGAGAAGAGGAATCACATATATTCTGTGTAACATTTCAGCCGTTTACCGTGAGCTCAGAAGAAGAAGTGCCACCTTTATAAGATCAACAGGGACATTTAAACTTCAGTCATACTACAATGCTAAATTAAACACTACAGAAAATGGTGTTCAGAAGACCCTCAAAGCAGGTCATGAACGTGCGTTTCTCTGTACTCAGAGTAACGGTCATGGTTTATGAAATGTACTTCAGAATTTGAAAATCTCTCATTTCTTTACCCCACAAAGTGTTGGGTTTACAAGTTACACACACAAGCTTTATCACTGTGATTTTGTTTAGAATCACAGTGATATGACATGTCAGGCTGAATCTGTGTCTAAAATGATGCACAAGATATGTAGAATATTACTATTGGATGAACTGGTGCAGCCAATAGAAGCAACTCTGTGGTTTGAATGTTTTACTCAGTGTAAATATCATAAATGTGTATTGATTAAGGCTGCTGTAAAGATACCCAGACATTCACCACGAGACAAAGACAGAGAGCATGCTGGGAAGCAAAAAGCTGCCATCTTTCCTTTGCATCTGTCGTCAGGTCTCTAAACGCTGCAGAGGGGAGACTGGGGAAGGGAAGGGAAGGGAAGGGAAGGGGAGGGGAGGGGAGGGGTGTGTGTGTGTGTGTGTGTGTGTGTGTGTGTGTGTGTGTGTGTTTACAGCGAGGATAGTTCTTAACTGATGATTTGGTTGTACTTAATTCAGAGGTAATCAAATCTCTTACTCCTCGTTAAGTGTCTGCTGACTGATAACAGCAGACACATTATAAGATATTCTATTACTATTATTTCTATTATATCAGATCACTAAATTACAGCGTAGGGAGATGAACTTCAGTCAACTAAACCTCTGGGTTCTGTTTCACATGCTGCGATATCCTCTTTCAAAATGTACTGTTGTTCGAATAACAAAACAAACCACATTAACACTTTTATTGTCTGTCTCTTCTTCCCATCAACCCACCTCCTTTCCTCCAATTCCCTCCATCATTTTCTACCTTTCCCCTCGATCCTCGCAGCGTGCAAACGGAAGGAGCAGGACAACGCTAAGGACCGCAACAACACGCCAAAGAAGTCGCGGCTGGTCTTCACCGACCTGCAGCGGCGCACCCTGCTGGCCATCTTCAAGGAGAACAAGCGGCCGTCCAAGGAGATGCAGCTCACCATCTCGCAGCAGCTGGGCCTTGAACTCACCACCGTCAGCAACTTCTTCATGAACGCCCGCCGCCGGAGCCTGGACAAATGGACAGATGACGGAGTCAGTCCTGGAGGCCAATCTTCGGCGTCCAGCACTTGTACCAAAGCGTGATAGTAGATAAGTGGAGAGGGGAGGAAAACCAAAGTGACAGGGAGAGTTCTCGGGTGGGTTTGGGAGGGATGGAGAGGGGTTGAGGGCGAGGGGAAACTCGTCCGGTCGAAAACCAAACTTTTTACAATTGTTTTTGTTGTTTGTCTGTTTTACTTTTGACGAGGGTGACAAACTGAGAGAGGGGCTGCTCACTGCGACGAAATTGTTTGTAGCCTAACCGCCTTTTTGCAAATCCATCGTGAATCCATAAAGAAGCTGAAGGGTAAACACACCTCTAAAACATAAGAAACCTCAATGGGTTAAGAAGAACTCATAAATCATATTCTTTCACTGCGGATGTCTCCTTTAGGACAAAGAGCTGACACACTAGCCCAAATACCAAAGACTAGAAGACGATATTTGTTTTCTAATATGCAATATATAAGCTAGGAACAAACCAAACGATCAAGAAACCAATGAAAGCTTTATGAAAAATTCTCTGTGGAGAATTTTGTGGTATTTAAAGCTTAAAATGTCCCACAATTGCATCTTTTAAGGGTGAAGTTGAAGACTTTCAAATTCAAAATGTTGGATTTCAGAGATTGCAAAGTCACATTTTGGACTGTTGATTCAACCTACTTTTTTTATTTAACCAAACCAAAGATGAATGAGGCGTTTTTTTGATAGGAAAATATGATGACAGAAACATTTAGAACAACTCACTGGCTTGGAAAGTGTGATTTGTAGCTCACTGGAAAAGTTAATTAATGTTGCAATCTCTGATTTGAAGCAAATAATCACTAACAGAAAAAACTAAGTCTGTTTCCCCCTAAAATCAGATTTCAACAATTGGTTTCCAAAATGTTCCTTTATCCATTTGAAGTGGAAATATGTTGATCTCTAGGACATAACAACATGACCAACTTTATTCATAATGAGATTTCTGTCTTGTTCTGGACTAATCTCTTCAATTTTGCCAAAAAAAGAGCATGAGTGAACTCTTTAAAGGGGGCAGTGATCACTCTTAAAGTTAAGAAATGGCTAATATGCAAGCACAAACACCTACAGACACACAAACATGTAGAATTACAAGCTTTCCCTTTTAGCATACCTGGCGTTCAGTGGAATATTAATGTACTATATATGAATATATACAACGTATGTGAGCACAATCTTGAAGCACATTTTCTTTGCAATAGAACCGGGGCTCTATGCCAAGTGGTCTTCACGTCTTAGAAAAACTCAGGATACCATTTTTTCTAAACAGTGGCTGAAATCCACTTGGCATCTGACGTTACACACCGCAATGTACACATGTACACACACACGTAGACATGCAAACACACAACTTTAAAGAGTCATTTCCCAAATGTTTCCCAGAATTCCCATACTGACCAAAACATCAGTCAGCTATGCCAAAGCTCACCAAAGTTTACCCTGGCTTCACCAACCCATCATTCATTCATCAGGGCAGCGGTTTCCACCTAACATATTAGCATCAATTAGCATAAAAAACGCTAAATTGTGCTGGGACAGCTATAACTTACGTAACTAACTTAATCTATGTTTAATCAAAAGAGTGCTGAGCTTCAAGAACTCCAGCAGAAGTCAGAGCACAAAACAAGAGATAGCTTAACACTTAAGGCCTAGGTATGCTTCAACCACGTCGTCCGACTACATCTCAAACCTAAATTCTTAATACCCGTTCCCAAAGGCCACATTTGCCCCATCAAATAGAGGGCAATTAATCATATAAATGGCGACAATCTATCCTGGAAGGCGTTCAGGGTGTTGGAAAACACATACAAAGTGATGGAGGTAGTTATGTGAAGAATGTAAACAAATTACAGAGCTTGAGAGAGAAGTTCAAACTCCGCCAACAGTCACAACCCTGCACACCCGGCCAATCTCTAAAGAAGGGAGTGATATTTGGATTGTTTGTTTTGGAAAATTCATAAATTGTTAGACAAAGCACGACCTTATTCCAATGTAGGAAGACTATTAGTTTGAAGTATATCGTCCTTTCCTGTCTAGTTTTTAACTAATATGATCAAACACCTAAAATCTTACCTTACTCAAAACTATTTGAAGATTGACACAATCTTCCAGTGTCCAAAATGTGTCGTTAATTTACACATTTTTGATCGTCGTCGCTTAAGAAGTGCTTGGTTGAAACTTGCTGTCGAATTTTGATGTAAATCCAGCTATAGATCTAAGATGTTTTTTGGAAGCCTTGAGCTGCCATAACATGTACCAAAGAAACCAACCACTAACTCTTCAAACCATCACAGAACCATCAGTAGAACCAGTAAACCGTGTGAACCCGCGGAGGACGAACTGTCCGGGCGAATCAGGGCCTTTGTAATAATTAAAGAGGACAATCTAAAGACGATGCCTGGCAGGTCCGTCTCTTCTGAGGGTCAGCGGGCTGGCACACGGGAGGACAGCTATTTACGCTGCAAACACTAATAAAGTCATATATTCAGACTTCAAATTTTGTAAATTCAAGATGAGATTATGGAACTTTTTCCATTTGTAAATGTTTCTTTTATCAGGAGTGGTAAAACGTAGCACTCAACAGTTGTTTTTGACTAATCTTTGTTAAAAAAAAGTGAGATTAAACTCAAGATGGAATTTGTTTGCAGCGTAATAGAGTTGGATGTTGGACGGTTGGATTGAGACACGCAGACATGTTTTCTATGTCTGTCTCTGTCTGTCCAAACAAACTTCACCAAGCTACCATCGCCCCCCAAATCCATTTTACTTTGATACGTCACTGTACAGCCTTTACACATGATGTAAATACTAACATACCCAAGAAACCTCAAACGCCACCACCTGCTATTCCATTTTAACAGCCTTTACCATCCACAATCACCTCATCAATCATTACTCACTCAAGCTATCGAACCAAAAATAGAAGCAAAACCAAAGGAAAGGCGTCAGTCAGCAGCCCCCTCTCCGTAGAAACCCAGGCTTGTCCCGGCCTGGATAGAGAACGATTTAAAATAAGAACATGGACACTTGAGACTTTTTCTATTTATTGACGAATCGAAACCAAAGAAAACCTTTTTCTGCACCTAACTGTTCCAACAAACGGAAAAACTAACTGAAGATGGATGAGAATTATTACCAAAAAAAGGATAAAAAAAAAAGAAAAAAAAGAGTGGATGTCGAGGATGTCGACGAGAAGGAGGAAAGACGAAAGGATGACATCATGGGATCGGAGTAGTAGCTTTGTTCTGCCTGATGTCGTGTCAGGCCATCTTTAAGGGGAAGCAAGTTGGGGACTGAAAGGGTAAAACCACACGGGTCGGAGGGAAGGAACCAATGGATGATGCTGTTGACCACTTCCTCCCTCCAACCCCCAAACAAGGCAGAACATTAATGTGTCCCTCACGGTTGAAGAGTGTCTTTAACGTGTGCCTATGCAGTTTTTCAAAGTAAAGAATGGTTAAAAGAACAACAGAAACCTCATCAGCTAACAAACCAAAGATTCACCGTTAAACCCAGTCGCAGTCCTCCTCCCCCTGAAAAAGAACACCTGGACTTTTAATTCACTAATCTGTTGCACTTCCTGGGTTAGCATGTAGGCTAATCAAGTTTATTCTGTATCTCTTAAGCCTGTAGCATTTCTTTCACCCTTTTACGTAGAATGTTATTCAGAATCCTCAATCACAGTTTCTATCAGGATAGCTAGACCTCAAAGCTAAATTGAATACATCTGGTATTTTGATTGGTCATTCCTCCAGCATGGCGTCAACACATGGCAAAACAAGTCCGAATGTTTCTCGGAAAAGAGTTGTTGCTGTTTGTGTGTTTTCTATAGTTTTTTTCCAACACAAGTCAATATCTGCTCCACAGGACAAAGTCTACCTCCAACAATCTCCAGCAGTAGAAACAAAAGCTGCCAGACAACAGCACAGGGACGGTTTATTCCCCCATCCTGTTTCACGTCCACACGGTTTGAAACAAACGATCTGCATCGAGGTACAATATCAACTAGTTGTTGAGTGTTGCTCAAATGCTTCCATTTTGCTTCCACCCAGGCTAGGGAATAGACCTCTTTTCCATTTCAAGATGGCTGTTGTCCGGCACCTTCCTACTGCGGAGAGAGTGACAATGTAATGCTATGTAAAACGTACAGTGCATACCAAAGATTATCTGCTGTACAAACAGTAGCACTCACACTTTTACTTTTCTCCATACGCATTTAAGAGTGGATATTTTCTCGAGATTCACCAATGTTTTAACGTAAAGTCACTCACAGTGTTGCCTCTGACCTTTACGTTTTCAACCCAGACCTATAGAAACCAGCTGAGGCGGAAATACTCAGGTTGTTTTTGAAGATATCAAATCAAATCAAGTTTTATTTATATAGCACATTTATAAACGATTTTTGGTCGAGCCAAAGTGCTGTACATATAATAAAAATAGCCTACAGTAGAGACACTTTACAGCAAATACAACAGCACGGACCGATATGGACCGTTTAGCAATTCCAATCAATGTTCAAATACAATTATTAAGTGTAAAACTCTGGGTTTCACCTCGGTATCGTATAGAAAACCGGCTTCCTGAGATATGGTGAAAATATTATTTATTGAAACAACGTTCTAAAATCAAACAAGTAGTACAAGACCAAAAATAATGGATTTAGGACAATCCAAAATTCTTCTTATGTGAGTTTTGGCTAGGCTAGGGTGGAAACGTTTCCAAGGTGGGGGTGCACATTTTTTCTAAAACAATCTATCATTACGCCACAGTTTGCCCACACTGCCATGCTGGAGGAGGAGCCTCACAGAGAAAGCACTATTAGTCCATAGATAACAAACCCACATTAGCTTGTTCTTTCTGGGGGAGGACCCATGCTGCTGCTCGATATACACAACAATAAATGAAACAAAACCAAAAACGTGACGCCCGCTGAGAGAAACTGCTAAAATATCGGTCAAATAGCTTTATCCTTAGTTTTCTCTCTCTCTTTCTGTATGTAAAGCTTCTAGTCCAAAGAAATCCTCCGCCCACCTGACCCTCCAATCCTACCAGCCGCGCCCAAAGAAGGGGCGTGGCTGTGGCTCGGGGGGGCGGAGGCCATCCACCATTACCACGTGCAGTTCTGTCTGATGTAACTCAGGCTCAACCTGCCAAACCAAAAATGGGTATGAAACCAAAAACTGTCCAAAGAAGTTTTCATTGCTTGTTTGTTTTGAAGTACTTAAAAAGTATTTGCCAATACTTGTGTGTCTACTATTACTACTATGCTTCTTCATAGGTTTTTGCAATATGTGATTCTGTTTTTATTTAATGTAATTTATGTTATTTTTTTAATTGTGAGTTAATTTAAGCGAACAAATTGTGTTGCCAAATCTCCCTCTGAACCCTTTTACCTTGATGATTAGCTTTGCCAAAGTTTACATTGTATGTTCCCTTTTCTTTCTGTTCAATGCTGTATTTATTTATGAGGTGTTTTAGAACACACTAGTTTTGTACTTAATAATTTAATGTTATTTAATTAGATGTAATTGTTTTTCGATGAATATTTATGAGTATTTAAGAATGTTAGTTGCATCCAAGATGCAGTGCTTACGCCAGGCCTGTTAATTTATTCGTAGTTAGCTTTACTTTAAAAAGCAAATGAAATGTTGTTTGACGAATGTTTAGACAGAACAATGTAGGAATGTCAGAATAGACTTGAGTACTTCTGAATGTCAACACTTGCTCTCACTTTTTAGCCTATGTAGTTTATTTTGTCCTGGTATTGATTTTTCCTTTTTCAAAATGAAAACAATCTCTTTATGACAAATAATAGCCTACTGAATGATGAGCACTGCATCTGTTTTTCTTTTCTTCTTTGGGTTTGTATGGCTTATTTATTGGTTGTTTTGTTTTAATTTCTTTGCATCCGGTTGACCATTGTTTACCAAACAATGAATTTCAGACTGATGTTTTACTGACACTTGATCAGATGACGGCCAAACACTGACATAAACTGATTCACCAAAGATAACTGGAATCCTTGAGAGGCCACTAAAACAGTGTGTGTTTACATCCACGCAGCTCGTGACCTGGTTAAGTTCTTATGCGCACATTGCTTTTATCAAATTATTTACAGTATCAAATGTCTCTGTGGTCTGATTGTAAAGGCTTTTCTTTCTGGACATTGTCTTGCCCTTAAACTCCTAGACAAGACTGATTTTAGCTTGGTGTCAAGACTCAAACACCTCTGTAACTAAATAAAACAATATGAACAATTCAAAATTATATACTATCGAAGGCTAAATACAAAATTTGAAGAGTAACTTACCACTACATCAACTACAAGTCACTTTATAACACCATCAATTGATCCCATTTTATCGTGTCCATTGCAACAAGTTATTCGAGAGATCAAGCAAAAACTGGGTGTTGAAGTTCTTGGGGTAAAACTCATCAATCTGTCTAAAAATGTTGACAATTAGCTGAAATTATGTTGGAATCAGGTCAAAATGCTTTAAGACCCAATCAATAGTCATAGTGAGAATGTCCTCTCCGACTTTCCATCAAAACCCTGAGCTTTAAAGGAACAACAAAAGAACAGAAAGGCGTTTGTTGTGAGAAAATCTGCTTGTTCTATGATTCTCTGTGTTGGTATAAGAGCTTATCCAGGTTATTGTATACAGAATGTGAACACACACCACCTCTACAGGAACACATACCTGCTGTGTTTCCCGTTAGTTACCCAGATATCGGTGTGGGTGTCTGCGTGAATGCAAACACACCGACTTGTTTCACTCGTTAGGAAGGAAAACTGAGGAGTCCCTTAAAGCTAGCTGCTTCCAAGAACTGACTTTGTGTGTGTGTAAAAAGAAAAAAATAACTTTCTATTTGAATTGTGAGAACCAGAGAGGCTACCTCACTGATTTGTCCTTTTAATCGTGTTGATGAAACCAAAGAAACCAAAGATTTTTGTCCTCTTCAGCACGGTCTGCGCTCAGCTCCATGCGTTTGTTCTCCTCAACGATGATGCCTCGTTTCCCCCTCTTTTCTATTCTCCTTTTCTCTGTCATCCTCCTTCCTTTCCTCCTCTCTCGTCCTTGGATTGTCTCTTATCCTAAAAATAGAATGGGTGTGAAGGGGAAAAAGAGGTATACCCCGGGGTCTGGCTAGATGCTGGCTATCAGGTGCTAACAGGCTAACAGGAATACTCAATTGTCTGTAACGAGAATACGTTTTAATATGATATTATCAAAATAAGCTTCTGGAGACGAAAAAAAGAACCCCAAACTTAAATGGGAAAAATGCTGTTGTTAGCCACTGAGATGATATAGTGAGACATCTATATGCAACAGGCAGTTTTCCACAAAGATTCAAAGCGTGTTATGGCCGTGAAAACAAAGAAACAAGGTAGAACTTCAACAAGACAAAATGAAGGAACAAGATGAAGCTCTTGGTGTACTTTCAGACACCTTCATCCTGATTCTTCATCTGGGATATTTTTACTACCAACCACATCCTCCCCTTTTTCTACTTTACCTTATCTCGCCAACAGTAATTGGACAGCCGATTGTTAGCAGCCTTGTGCTGCGTAGCAACAACATTGATGTAACGCCGCTCGGACTCTTTGAGCTCAAGGTTGAACTTTTCTGTTTTAACCGTAGGCAACAAACTTGTCATCCTTATAGTTGTCTGTAAAGTCAAAAATGCACTATTAATAACATAACCACACCTCGAATGTCAGGTCCTAACCCTAACCCTTATCCATGCTAACATGCTCACAAAACCGGAATAAAAAAGCTTTAGGAGGCCATTATTACCATTTTTATTAGCATGCTAACCCTTGCTAATTAGCGCCAAACACTAAGTCAAGCCATTAGCCTTCAGGTATTTGGTTCTGACCAAATCTAAGTATAAAAAACTTTGCCTGAAGAATGGCGTTACATTTAGGATTACAGGTTCAGCAACATTTTAAACCTTTTCCTGCGTGGGCCTTGCATATCTGAGCCAATCATGGCAATCAGTTTGATAATCTTTATGGTTATTTCAGTCTTGACCAAACATATGGACCAAGCGACCAATCGGTGAGCATGGCTAAAAATCTAAAAATGACTTTGTAAAGGATAACTTACTCAATAGAGAATACACACACATTTAATTATGTAAAAGGACACCACTTAATACCCCAACAAGTTCCACAATAATGTCTATCTGTTGTTTCATTGATAATGCAAATAACAACAACGTCAGCTGTTGGTTAAACTTCTGGATCCTTCAGCCCTAAGATAAAGAATAATACCGGAATTAGAGAGTGAAAGACAAGATGTTTTCATCAGGAACGAGATTTGGATCTTTTAAAAAGACATCTAATTATCTTTGACATCTTTTGATTCCACTAATACCTAGCATTGTTTTCCATTGTGATAAGATAAGGATTTGTATACTTGTACATCCAACTTAGCCATTTTGCTTCCCTTCTTACAAGCATTGGGATTTTAAATCAACCAGATGTAACTTGTTCTGGTTCGAGCCAGTTCTCAGACTCCTGCTGTCCTTCTTTGCTTTTTTCCAAATGGGGTTGCTTTAAAAAAAAAAAAGACGCGGATATCGCTTTTGTTGCAAAGTGTGAGATCATCTTGGATGAGTGCCTTGCTTCAACCAAAGCGACGTCTAAACCTCTCTGTTTCTTTCTTGTGAAAAAACGAATACCTCAGCATTCCTCTCCGCTCTCTGGTACTTTGCAATCAACGCAAATGAATCCAGAGTGAATACCAAAGGCTTCCCGTTCGGTTTCTCCGTTACTATCACTTCTCTATTTTCTCTGAGCTGGGTTACCACAGATCCCCGGAAAGTCATTTTGTGATAAAAGGAAATCCAATCTTGTTCTGTTAACCGCTTGTTTTTCAAAAATGATCCCAGACTTACAACAGTCTCGGTTGAATTGAAGACACACATTCAAACAAAACTAGCTTTAGTGGTAACGCAGCTCCTTCCCTTTCACCGTCCTCCTTCCCTTCCTACAAATGGTTGCAAAGCTTTAAATGAAACACACAGAGACAAACCTTAGCGAGTTGAGTGCAGACTGTGCTCTCTTTACCAAACTGTTGCAGATATACCTCATAGACACTAGTGTTAGGATGATGTTATAATAGCGTATGTCATAAATTATTCACTTGCTCTTCTTCCTTTTATTTTGGTAACTGTGACTTTAAAGCGAAACAATTGTGGGGAAAAAGCTTTACACATTTTTAAGTTGTGAAGTTTTTTTTTAATGCTTTTTTTGTAATAGTTAAAAAGGTGCGCTAAAACCAAAAATGAAAAATGCTTGTCTTCTTCTATGCTCTCTTTCTTGTTGATGTATTACTGTTTTCTTTCTGTTCCATTTGCCGACGATTGAGGGATTTATACATTTGGTTCTTTTGAAGGGGTCATTGTCCCCTCATTTTGGGGATTGGGAACATTGTTGAAATGATGCCCAGAATAATACCGGCTTCTTTGATCAATCGGTTTCGTTTGAAATCCATCCACATTTTAGTTTATTTGTCTGCATTATTTTTAAAACCATTGTTTCAGTGTGCCTCCTTTCCTGTGCTAACGCTAGCATCACAGTTACATTTCCCACACAGCAGCGCTATAGCCCCGATTTAATGCATGAGTATATTTACGATTAGATAGCGGTGTAATGCATTGTGATACTTATTGTTACCCTTATTTTGTTATCATCCTCTCATTTTGGCCCCGATACTTTACGCTATACACACAGAACTTTGTGTTACATCTCACTGAGAATCATCATGAGGTTCAACTATCTTACCGATAAACTGTCAGCAAAATGTGCTTTATCATCGCTGATCTACAACAGTGAGAGAGAAAATGGGCCAACGAACAAACTGAAAGTAAAACAATTCTCATCTGGATATACTTACCAAGTTGATTTCACCTTTAATTTGACAGATACATTTCACGTTTAGGGTTTTGCCATGCAGCCGTCCAAAATAAAATCTGAAACAAGCTGGAAAAGTCGTCAATCATCTCTGAACAAACAGTGAGCCAACGAACAAACTATGAGTACCCTAACAACAAATGTTTTTCTCACCGTCCAATTTGATTTCAGATTTAATATGATCGATAAATTAAACTCTGGGTGTAAGCACAAGTCAGCAAAAAGAGCTTGATCGTCTCAACAGTGAAGGAACACATGGGCCAATGAACAAAGTGAAAGTAAAGTGGAAGACGACAAATGTTTTTTCCATGTTACTTTAGCATCAGCACATAGAGTTTCAAAAGACGATATAAATCAGTCAATATTAACTGCTAGAGTTTGAAAGGCCAAAATACATCTCTCATTGTTTTAGGCAGTGTTAGTTCAAAGAAAACCAAAAGTATATTTTTTAGCACTTCAAGTACCTGTCTTCCAATTTTGATGAGCATACCAAGTGTTGGGTTACCTCAAGTATTTTCCAGACATCACCAAATTATCCAACCACGCGCTTTCCCGTCAAAGTCTTGCCTATAACCCCAAACAATATTTCATTATTTTCTGTTCACTCACCCTTTTCCTCGTTGTTTTCTTTTCTTTCCATTTTCTTTCATGGTTGTCATACAGTAATCAAAAATCAAACGATACGTTTTTGACATTCGGTTGGAACAGAAAAAGAGAAGTGACTGAAAACTTGTGGTGTGGAATAAAAAGATGATCAAACATGAAGGAGATATTGGGAAAATTAATGTTGTTCCACTCTATGTATAAAAGAAGGAAAAAAATCAATAAAGAAATCACAATGGTCTTATCCATGTACAACTTATCCTCCTGGTATTTCTTTCAATGATGGTAAACACGATCGCATGTTACTTTTCTATTACTGACAAATGTAGTGGAGAGTAGCACTTAAGTAAATATGTTTTTGAACACACAGCCAATTATCTATTTTAACCTACTGGGCGATAATTTACAAAATCAACATTATGCTGTATTTAAGAAGACGTGATTGCAATTGAGACCATAAACTTATGATAACAATATTTACTGAGGGAATGATTCAGATGAGAGGCAAGGTATTTTCTACAGAATATAATAACTAAACACCACATAACTAGCTGTTATGGTGAATCAGGGTATATGCAGGAATCCTGAAGTCAAAGTAAGACCTTTTTTAAGACCCTTTCCATACATTTGAAGACCTCATCGCCACTTGGAGTTTTAACTGGTTACATTGGCGACACACTTCACCTCACATTGACTATATACCAGAGGTGGGAGTAAGTCCTACATGTGCAAGTCATGAGCAAGTCTCAAGTCTTGACCTACAAGTATCAAGCAAGTCCCAAGTCACTGTGATGAGAGTCAAGCAAGTCAAGTCATACGAAATTCTGATGAATAAGCCCAGTTTCCGCATTTAAATCAGTTAAGACAGTGGTTATGAAAATGGATTCAACCCACACTATGATCTTCATTACATACACAGTTAATCATTTGAAATCTAATTTAGACCGATGACAATCATATTAGATTCATATTAACCCTAGAACTGCAGACAATATAGCTAGGACTCAAAAAGTCTGTTCAAAAAGGCAGAATTCCAGGTAAGAAAATCATATATGGCATTTGCCATTACACATATTTAATTTACATTTCTGTTAACACTAGAACCGCCAACAGCGTCAGCACCTACATAGATATCATTTTCAAATCATTTAATTTGTTATTTGTTATAATTTCCTTATAAACTAAGTAGGACGATATTTAAAACTCACTTAATTGGGTTAATTTAGAAATTGCTTCAGTTTATCATCATAATAATAATAATAATGCATTTTATTTATATAGCGCTTTTCACAACGAAAAGACGCTTTACAGTTTACAGTATGAGGGAGGGTAGACAAACAAGGACAGGCAAACAAGTAAGTATAGTAAAATAAATAAAAAGGCAGTCAAGAGGAAGTTGATTGAGAGGGGGGGGGGCTTATGGGTAGACAGAGTTGAAAAGATGTGTTTTGAGGCGGGACTGAAAGACTGTGAGGGACTCAGAGTCACGGAGATCTTGGGGGAGGGAATTCCAGATTTATATACTTATTGAAAACAAGCTACAAAATGTAATACCTTGGAAAATGCCCTTTAATACTTTTTAATAGCCTTCATTTTCGCTAAATTGATTTATCAACTTTTAACTTGGATTTAAGTCAAGTAGGCCTACGTGTTGTATGTGATGTGGGTTATGTAAGTTAACTTAAGTTTAAAAAATAAGTAAATGTTGACTTTTGGTTACACATGGAACACGAACAGCATTGTCCCCGGAGAAAGTACTAAATCTGTCAATCCATCCGATCCCTGTGGACTTTGTCACTCTTCACTCGATGACCCCTGAAATCTTCATGTTCACTAGAGTCACTTTACTGCTCGTCCAAAACTAACAGCAGCGGGGACATAGAGCGTCATAGTTAGACGTGTAGGGCCAATAACCAAATGGGTTGGAGCACTCGCTGCCCTATTTTAACTGTTGGTGTCTAACTTTGAAACCACACTTTACCATGTCTCCTACCCCAACAATTACCGTAAGTTGTTACATCATAATTAAGGCCAAGTTGAAAGATGGCCTCGCCCATCACAGACGGTCTCTATTTTTTTTTTTTAATGGCAACTTATTACAGGTAAAAAGAAAAACACAATTTTAAGGTGTTCATTAATTCTCAGATTTTCCTTCTTCATTTTCGGTGTTATAGAAGTTTCCCTTAGAGATGTTGAAAGTTGATTTGGTTCCAACATTTCTCTTTTAAGTCAAATCATTATTTTCAACAGCTAATTTTCCCTCTCTTTTTTCCATCCATTTATTTTGTTCTGTCCATCTTCAACGACTCCATCACCTTCCGTGTCTCTTTCCACATCTCCTGTCCCTTCGTTCCTCTTTTCCCTTTGTGTAATCATCCCAGCATCCATCTCCTCTCATCAATCCCCCTCGTCACTTCTCTCCTTTAACCTCCCCTCTCCTCTTTTTAATCACTCCATCCCATCCTCCCCGCTACACTTTCTCTCCCCCCCCCCGTTGCCATGGAAACAGCAGTCCATTCTGTGGCTGTTAATCTGGTGACATTGTCTTTCTATTACCTGTGGGTCAGACGCCTGATAAGGAGGACAAAGGGTGGGAAAGCGAAGAACGACTCACTTTAAACGTTTGTAAAATGCTCGTCTTCATTAAGACAAGTGCATTTCTGCAGGGACAGAACAACCTGGCAGAGGAAAAGGTTTACTAGGGCTTTGTTGTCACTTCTCTAAGGATATAAGACAAACTCTGCATGAATATAAACAAGACAATCCAGTCAATTAGACCCGCAGAGTCCTTTCTTTGCATAGTTCTGTGTTCATAAGAGTCGATTAAATCCTGTGCTCATTTTGGAGGCTGTTGTTGATTATTACATTTACCTTTTTATTAAATATCTTGGAATATTTTGCACTCCACACACTAAAACACTACAGATGTGACAGATAACCCTGCCTAGTGAATTAAACATTAAACAATGCACGGTTCTGGAAACCAACTACTTTGTTTTGCAGCAGTAAATTGGCAACGCGGGAAGGTAACAACCCAATTAAAGTAAGAGTTATTAAACATAATTATAAGTATGAAAATAATTTGTTCAAAGCAAACACACCAGGGCCATTACATTGATAAATAACTAGGGTAAGAGCTCTCAAATGTACTTGCAGCTGTGCGTCTTCACTGACTGAGGAAAACATTTTCAAATCACTGTGAGAATGTGAACAAATCAGCAGTTAGTTATGTAATTATAATGTAATTATGTGTGTGAAAATGTGTTTAAAAATAGCTGAAAGTCAGGTCAAAACACACACACACACACACACACACCACACACACACACACACACACACACACACACACACACACACACACACACCACACACACACACACACACCACACACACACACACACACACACCACACACACACAAACACCACACACACACCACACACACACACACACACAACACACACAGTATTCTGTTCTACATCCTGATAGGCTCACTGCACAGGCAAGCAGCGACAGAAAAAGTAATAGGAACATGAGTTGGGGATACACATCACTCCCCTCTAGCAAAAGGTTACCATGGTAGCCTGTTGTCAATCACAAGGTAGGCACGCCCTAAAACATACCCTGCTCGCTCCATCGTCCATTTCACTCTAAATGGGACCATCATTTACCAAATGAACATCAAGCTGTTTTGGAAAAGACATGAAACAAGCAATTCAAATCATAAACTGTTAACTGAGGTGATAAATCAAGAGAGAAGTGGAGTTATTTTCTCATAGACTCCTATACAATCTGACTTCTTTTTGCAAGCTATCGAGTCTTTACCTGCAGGCTCTTAGAAATAATGCACATTTGAGGCCACTTCCATTTCTTATATTCAGGCTGTTGTCCTATGGTGGAAGATTGTTTACTTCAGTGAAAGTACAAATACTATGGTCTTAATATAATGAGTTCCAAGTAAAAGTCCTGAATTGAAAACGTTACCTAAGTAGAAATACAGAAGTATTATCAGCAACATATATTTCAGGTATCAAAAGTTAAAGTTCTTAGAATATAATGGCTCGTTTTACAGTATTATATTAAACTATCTCGTTTTTTTAAACATATACACACATACACGACGTAGGACCATTTAAATGTTGTAGTTTTTAAATTTGGGGCCAATTTACAAACAATATACTTACATATTTCTAATATAGTGCATCTTATTTTATATCATGCGGTTTTTTTGTAAGTAACTATGGGTGTTAAATAATTGTAGTGGAGTAAAAAGTACAATATTTCAGTCTAAATGTAGTGGAGATAAGTATATTATGTAGCATCAAATACAATTACTCAAGTAAAGTACAAGTATATCAAAAGAGTAAGTACTTGACAGTAAATGTACCTGGTTACAATGCAGCACTGCTGGTGCGGCAAAACTAAAGAAACCGTTGAGAAACTGTTATAAAGACTGCAGCTTATTGTATTTCAAATCAATATAGAGTTTACCATTTTCTATTCTGCTTTCTTGCTCAACTCATGTTCACAATCAACCAACTTTTCCCTGGTTTAATACCAAACCTCTTGATTCCTCCCTCCTTGTATCCTCTCCATCTCCTTCCCTTGATATTTTCTGTTGTCACTGAGTCAGCATGTTTGCCCTTTTCTTTCTCTCCTGAATTTTATTTCACATTTATATCCCGTGGGATTTGACCATCCGTGCTATGGTTGAGCTAACGGCTAACAGCTAACTGCTAACTGAAGACAGGATGGGCCCAGGCTAATCAGTTAGCATGCTAATTTCGGAAGATATCTCTGCAACACAATATATGCACGTTTTTTGACATAACATCAACAGTTAATTCATTTTTTGAATGTGTTTAAGTTTCAATGATTGCATATCTCACACATTTCCTTTCATCCTTCTCTCTCATCCTCCTCATCTCTCCTTGTTTTTTTATGTCCTGCAATTTTGTATTCAATTTTTTTCTACGTCATCCCTTTGTTTGTCCTCCATTTGTCTTCCACCTTTCCTTCTCGTTCCATCTTCCATCCTTTCCTGTAGTTTTGATTTATCTTTGTCTACTTTCTCTCTTCCCTGCCCTCTTATCGTCCATATTTCTTACCCTCAGTTCTCCCATTTTCCCCAAAACATTTCGAATACATGAGTCCTCCCTCTCTCTTTCCCCCTCTTTCTCTCTGTGAAGAAATCAATGGTTGTTCTCTCAATAGGAGGTCACAGGGTTGCAGGCGATGGCGTCTCGCCTTTTCAATTACT